ATATATTATATAATATTAATTATTATAAAATTTTTTAATTTTTTTTTGTAAAAAAAAAAAAAAAAAAAAAAAAAAACTTTTTGCCTGTAGCATCTTCCTCAAAAAACTGGTTGCTATGGTGATAGCATCTAATGGTCATTGACACTATATTTATGGAAAAAAGTTCTGGAATGCTAGTCATAAAAGTACCTAGAAATTTCGTTGAAGTTGAAAAGGATGGTAAAAATAAAAATATTACTTCAGTAAATATTACTATTACATGTAATGGTTGGCAAGGGGTATCATTAACAGTAATCTACTTAAAAACAGATTAACTTTATTTTTACCCACTCAATAGAAGCACCAAGATTTTATTTTCCTGTGAAAAGTTGCTGTAGCAGTAAAAGAATAAAATAACTCATATTTTAAACCCATCTTCTACCAGGGGTGCCAACAACTTTGTCCACATCTGAATGTTCTCAAACAGAAATCCTACTTTTGCTGTTCAACCAGAAGTATTTGTCACATCTTCTTTTTACTAAACCCTCCAACACCTGTACGCTTCTAACTGACCCGGAGCTACACTGTCAATAAATCTGGGAACAAAGTAACAGCTTAAAGCTTACAAAGTCATTTAAGCTTCAGTTAACATTTTGTTTGGATTTTTTTAATACAATCTTTGTTATAACCATCAATCATCAAAGTCGACAGTCCTGATATGTAACCAGTTATAGTGTCTGCATGAAGGACTTCTAGTCTTTCCTGCTTAAATATGCATGCAAGTGTGAATATTACTATCTAATAAGAGCAGTTCTACATAATACAACAAAGTGAGATCACTCATTTATTTGTCGAGCCTCAAACTAGAAAACTGCATTTTTAAAAATGGGAAGAAAAAAAAAAAAAAAAAAAAAGCTAATATTTCAAAGGGACTGTTTTCTCCAGCAGCTCACAAAATCTCTCAGAATATCAAAAAGCACATGGACAACAACAATTATCATTTAAGCGCATAAGAATTTCTCCAAGGACTTGTCAGTATGTTTTGGTAGAATTAAGTCGGTTGCATTTTTAAATGTGTGACTCATTGCATGTGTGTGTGTGTGTGTGTGCGTGTGTGAGCCATGCTCTCTGCAGGAAGCTCCTAAGAAATTCAGCATTTTCCAGTCGCAGCACAAAGCAAGCCGCAGAAGAAGAAAAAAAACAAACAAACAAGGGAAGCAGAACCTGGAACGTGAGAGCCGTGACAGCACTGAAGTCATTATTACGACGGCATTAGTGGCGTGTGATTGGCACCGTTAGTCCTGCCGTTAAATGATTCGCTGATGAGTGAATGCGGTAAAAATACACACTCGCAGTTCAACACGTCGGTCCAACCAGAAGTGAAAAAAAGAAAAAGGCTCGGACTCACCTCTGCTGAAGTTCCTCCTCGACAGACTTGAGAAGGCTTCTGTTTAAGATGCAGACAGAAGTAAGTGCCTTTTCACAAAACTGTTGTAAAATTAACGCTTCATCTGTATAGTCCACACCTCCTAATCTCGATAGTTTTGACTGGTCTATTGATTGAACACTAAAACATGTATAACAGAGGGAGAAAGGAGCAAAGCTGGAAATTTAAAATCATCTACTTACTTGTTTCCTCCCAGCAAACTTGGTGAATCGTGGCCGTACTCCAGCTGCAAGTCCTAAAAGAAAGAGAAAGCACGTTAGTATCGTAGTCCTGTGTATCATATGAAATTGTTTCTTCATGACAGCAATAGGACAAATTTTCCTGAATAACAAGGAACTAAATAAATACCACCTTGGAATTTTATATTTTATTGATCCAATCCACTAATCCTAAAGTTTCTACATTGTTTTCCCTCTAGCACTAATTATCTTATCAATATCCAATATATACAAAATTAACTGCATAAAAAAAAGAAATATAAAATGTAATTTAAACTGTAAAGATCAAGTTTAATATGCAAAACATGGACAGCAGGAGTTTACAGAAAAGTGGGATTAATGCTTTCCATTGTTTTACAATCATTACTGGTAAAATATCTCAACTGTTTTGCGAATTTTTATTTATCTATTTAATTATTTCTACAAAAGAAAAAAAAAACCTACTATATCCTGGAAGCTTGAAAACTGAGTTTATGTAAATTTGGTATTCTGTGCTTGTACATTTCTATGCCACTTTCTGTATTTTTCAGTCAAGATTTTTTTAAATGATTACACTTATTGATATCTACAGCAAAGTGAATAAATGACTTACTACAGAAATAAATACAGTAACCAAAACTATCTGAATTGTTCAAATAATTTTGCCAGCGTCAAAACCAGTTATACTTTACACTTAAAGTTCTTAAAGTTGTGACTCTTTTGATTTGAAAAAAAGATCACTTAAAAAAATAATATGTTATATAATTTAACCATATTTGGTCACAAAACTTCTGTTTTCTAATAATCCCAATGTGGACAAATTGAGATCATTTAAAAGTGAAATATATTCCAGCCTTTTTGTTGATTATCTGAAGCTAAAGCTATTTTTTTATAATTATTATTTTAACTTAAGACACCAAACAGGAACTGAGTAAAGGTTTGAACTGTTTCATAAAAATACTTATTTTTATTTTTAATTTTATATGTTGACTTTATTTGAAAAAAGCTGTAGTCCAGATTCAGGACTAACTTAAAACTACTTTAAAGTGTTCTAGTGATGGTTAGGCTCACTAAGTTTTAGAAGTAAGACTCTCTGATACCAGAGAGTGAAAGTACTGATGGATCAGGAAGCTGGTATTAATTAGATTCAACATATTTACTTCTAAACTCTGTTTTAAATCACCTGCATCAGCTGCCTAGCATTTAGATTAACTTAGACCAATTTTAAAAAGCTGGGCTTAGGATCTGTTACATAAAGCCACAGACAGAGCATTGTTGTGTTGCATGAACATTTTACAAGACAAAGAGAATTAAGCATGCAACAGGAAAGAACACGTACTGAAAAAAAAAAAAAAAATCAGAGGTTCCGTGCTTGTAGTGAACTACAGCAGGTCAGAAGTTAGAAAACAAAATTCAGGGTAGAACAGAGAAGGTGAGAGTCTGTGAAGAAAAAGATCAGATATGCTGAAAAAAAAAAAAAAAAAAGAACAGCAGCAGCACAACACAGCAAACACTCAAGAGTTTCAGCACATGTACAGTATGANATATATTATATAATATTAATTATTATAAAATTTTTTAATTTTTTTTTGTAAAAAAAAAAAAAAAAAAAAAAAAAAACTTTTTGCCTGTAGCATCTTCCTCAAAAAACTGGTTGCTATGGTGATAGCATCTAATGGTCATTGACACTATATTTATGGAAAAAAGTTCTGGAATGCTAGTCATAAAAGTACCTAGAAATTTCGTTGAAGTTGAAAAGGATGGTAAAAATAAAAATATTACTTCAGTAAATATTACTATTACATGTAATGGTTGGCAAGGGGTATCATTAACAGTAATCTACTTAAAAACAGATTAACTTTATTTTTACCCACTCAATAGAAGCACCAAGATTTTATTTTCCTGTGAAAAGTTGCTGTAGCAGTAAAAGAATAAAATAACTCATATTTTAAACCCATCTTCTACCAGGGGTGCCAACAACTTTGTCCACATCTGAATGTTCTCAAACAGAAATCCTACTTTTGCTGTTCAACCAGAAGTATTTGTCACATCTTCTTTTTACTAAACCCTCCAACACCTGTACGCTTCTAACTGACCCGGAGCTACACTGTCAATAAATCTGGGAACAAAGTAACAGCTTAAAGCTTACAAAGTCATTTAAGCTTCAGTTAACATTTTGTTTGGATTTTTTTAATACAATCTTTGTTATAACCATCAATCATCAAAGTCGACAGTCCTGATATGTAACCAGTTATAGTGTCTGCATGAAGGACTTCTAGTCTTTCCTGCTTAAATATGCATGCAAGTGTGAATATTACTATCTAATAAGAGCAGTTCTACATAATACAACAAAGTGAGATCACTCATTTATTTGTCGAGCCTCAAACTAGAAAACTGCATTTTTAAAAATGGGAAGAAAAAAAAAAAAAAAAAAAAAGCTAATATTTCAAAGGGACTGTTTTCTCCAGCAGCTCACAAAATCTCTCAGAATATCAAAAAGCACATGGACAACAACAATTATCATTTAAGCGCATAAGAATTTCTCCAAGGACTTGTCAGTATGTTTTGGTAGAATTAAGTCGGTTGCATTTTTAAATGTGTGACTCATTGCATGTGTGTGTGTGTGTGTGTGCGTGTGTGAGCCATGCTCTCTGCAGGAAGCTCCTAAGAAATTCAGCATTTTCCAGTCGCAGCACAAAGCAAGCCGCAGAAGAAGAAAAAAAACAAACAAACAAGGGAAGCAGAACCTGGAACGTGAGAGCCGTGACAGCACTGAAGTCATTATTACGACGGCATTAGTGGCGTGTGATTGGCACCGTTAGTCCTGCCGTTAAATGATTCGCTGATGAGTGAATGCGGTAAAAATACACACTCGCAGTTCAACACGTCGGTCCAACCAGAAGTGAAAAAAAGAAAAAGGCTCGGACTCACCTCTGCTGAAGTTCCTCCTCGACAGACTTGAGAAGGCTTCTGTTTAAGATGCAGACAGAAGTAAGTGCCTTTTCACAAAACTGTTGTAAAATTAACGCTTCATCTGTATAGTCCACACCTCCTAATCTCGATAGTTTTGACTGGTCTATTGATTGAACACTAAAACATGTATAACAGAGGGAGAAAGGAGCAAAGCTGGAAATTTAAAATCATCTACTTACTTGTTTCCTCCCAGCAAACTTGGTGAATCGTGGCCGTACTCCAGCTGCAAGTCCTAAAAGAAAGAGAAAGCACGTTAGTATCGTAGTCCTGTGTATCATATGAAATTGTTTCTTCATGACAGCAATAGGACAAATTTTCCTGAATAACAAGGAACTAAATAAATACCACCTTGGAATTTTATATTTTATTGATCCAATCCACTAATCCTAAAGTTTCTACATTGTTTTCCCTCTAGCACTAATTATCTTATCAATATCCAATATATACAAAATTAACTGCATAAAAAAAAGAAATATAAAATGTAATTTAAACTGTAAAGATCAAGTTTAATATGCAAAACATGGACAGCAGGAGTTTACAGAAAAGTGGGATTAATGCTTTCCATTGTTTTACAATCATTACTGGTAAAATATCTCAACTGTTTTGCGAATTTTTATTTATCTATTTAATTATTTCTACAAAAGAAAAAAAAAACCTACTATATCCTGGAAGCTTGAAAACTGAGTTTATGTAAATTTGGTATTCTGTGCTTGTACATTTCTATGCCACTTTCTGTATTTTTCAGTCAAGATTTTTTTAAATGATTACACTTATTGATATCTACAGCAAAGTGAATAAATGACTTACTACAGAAATAAATACAGTAACCAAAACTATCTGAATTGTTCAAATAATTTTGCCAGCGTCAAAACCAGTTATACTTTACACTTAAAGTTCTTAAAGTTGTGACTCTTTTGATTTGAAAAAAAGATCACTTAAAAAAATAATATGTTATATAATTTAACCATATTTGGTCACAAAACTTCTGTTTTCTAATAATCCCAATGTGGACAAATTGAGATCATTTAAAAGTGAAATATATTCCAGCCTTTTTGTTGATTATCTGAAGCTAAAGCTATTTTTTTATAATTATTATTTTAACTTAAGACACCAAACAGGAACTGAGTAAAGGTTTGAACTGTTTCATAAAAATACTTATTTTTAATTTTATATGTTGACTTTATTTGAAAAAAGCTGTAGTCCAGATTCAGGACTAACTTAAAACTACTTTAAAGTGTTCTAGTGATGGTTAGGCTCACTAAGTTTTAGAAGTAAGACTCTCTGATACCAGAGAGTGAAAGTACTGATGGATCAGGAAGCTGGTATTAATTAGATTCAACATATTTACTTCTAAACTCTGTTTTAAATCACCTGCATCAGCTGCCTAGCATTTAGATTAACTTAGACCAATTTTAAAAAGCTGGGCTTAGGATCTGTTACATAAAGCCACAGACAGAGCATTGTTGTGTTGCATGAACATTTTACAAGACAAAGAGAATTAAGCATGCAACAGGAAAGAACACGTACTGAAAAAAAAAAAAAAAATCAGAGGTTCCGTGCTTGTAGTGAACTACAGCAGGTCAGAAGTTAGAAAACAAAATTCAGGTTAGAACAGAGAAGGTGAGAGTCTGTGAAGAAAAAGATCAGATATGCTGAAAAAAAAAAAAAAAAAAGAACAGCAGCAGCACAACACAGCAAACACTCAAGAGTTTCAGCACATGTACAGTATGAGACTGATGCAAGATCTTTTCACAGTCCCAGCTCTGCGTTTGACTCGGACCTCTAACCTTCCTCTGTACATTTGTATGTTTGCCACAGTGTGCATTTCATATACAGCATAACAAGAGAACAACAACAACAGTGATAATCATGTGACAGTAACACCTGAAGCACCAGTTAGTGAAGCGGAAAGTCGGAAAAGAGGTGAAGAGAGAGAAACACGGACGGACCAGAAGAGATGGACCAACATCGTGAGGATGGACGTCCAGAGCCTTGCAAACATCTTCATACTTATTGAACTTTCACAGAGTTTTTCAACCAACTACTTCAACGTATTTAATGTGTTTCAAGGGGACTTTTTTTTGTGACAGATTGAACGTAGAGAAGAAAAATCATCATCAAACTTTTTTTACAGGAAGATTTGGAGAAAGTGGCAGACGTTTTCGGCCCAACTTCACTATAATGACCCAAAATAAAACCCAGTAAAACCGTCTCTGTTGTTCTGAGAAGGCCTCAAATGTTTCTTACAGAACATTAGACAGCAAAGTGGCAATAGACTAAGGTTTACAGCAGTTATAATAACGAGATATAATGTCGGTAAATATCGGCTATCGCTTCTTTCATATTGGTGCATCTCTACTCTAAACCTATGACAACAAGGCTCTCCAAAGATACAGCTAAGAGGTCTGGCTTTTATGAGAAGGTGGCAAGATGACAGCCATTGTCAAAAAACAGCCTGAGAAACTTGTTTAGTTGGTTACAAGTCACATTCATGATTAAATAACCCCCAAATTGAACAGCCCAACCACATCATAAAAAACTGTGGTTGTAGCACACAACTGGGCATGCCCAGAAAAAACCCATTTGAGAAACTCGCTATTTGCAGAAGTCTGAAAATACTGCATTATTTTTTCTTCCTCTTCATAATTTTGTGTACCTTTGTGTCATTTATCAGAAGGGGAGAAAAAATCCCCATTGAAGTTTTTCGGCTGCAACATGAATGAATATGTGAAAAAGTTCAAGAGGAGAGACCAGTTTTGCAAGGCACTGTAAATATATTTGAAACATTGTGCAGCTAAAAGTGAACAAAAAAAGAGACAACAGTAGCTCAGAGAGCAAAAAATTGGAAACATAAGGACAAAGACTTTTTCTTTTCATAAGAGATTATGAAGAACAAGAGGGAACGTACGAAAGAGGTGGAAGCGGAGATAAGAGGTGTAAACTATGAGGAGGGGAAAAAAAAGCCAGCTAGTATGTAGATAGACGGATGACGAATAATGGGAGAGACAGAGGGAGTACTACCAGATTAGATCTCGCGGTATAGTAGAGCTCCTCAACACAGTCCAGATAGGGCTCAGAATCACACTGGTCAGCAAGACAGAGCGAGAGAGACCTCAGTTAATACATTAACCTGGGCTTATATAGATAACAGAGAGGAAACGAGGCACAGGGGTGAGAAGGAGGATGAATGAGTGAAAAGATTAAGTCTAAAAACCAGAGCTAAAAAGACAGGGGAGGAATAGGTGGGGTAATTAAAGTCAACAGAGGAGAAGGCAAAAAAATAACAGAGGAGGATGTTATTGAATAACCAGAAAACCCAAAAGGAAAGAATCAATAACATTCAATCAAGGAACAAAATCTTATATCTATTAAAAAAGAAAAGAATGTAAACACATCTGTTTATAAATCAAAAAGGATAAAAAGCAACTGGCTATAATCAGCTATAAATCAATCTTATACCTTTTCTTTATCAAAATTACTAAGAGGTCAAAAAAGAAAAAGCAGGAATGGGTCATGATTCTAGCTGATGTAGCATAAGTTCTACTATGACTGATGTTTGACTGTATTGTGTTAAAATGGGACTGAACTGGATGCATGTTTGTGAACCAGTTGGATTCTCTGTAGTTAGACATGAATGAAGCATGTTTGTTTTACCTGGAGCATTTAAATGGCGGTCATTATGAACCGGTGCTATGTAAAAATTGTGTCAGCGTTTCATAGAGCAGTCAATTTGGTCAATAAAGAGAAGTTATCAATTGTTAGAATAATGTGGTAATGGTGAAGCATCGACTCCATAATGAAACAGGTCAGCTGAGTGAATGGACATCAGAAACGTGAAAGTTTGTGATGAAGAAGAAAAAGCTGAAAACAAAATATGTTACAAGTTTCAAAAATAGATTTGAAACTGAAAAGAAAATGAATAAATCTGAGTGAAAGTGGCTTTAGGGACAAAGTGCTACTATTTAAATAAACTGTATGGGTGAAGCTGCACAGAGGAAAGAGAAAGGCAGGGGGCTGACTTAATTGTAATTGGATTTTATCTCAGCCAACTAGAACAGAGATGACAGAGGGAAAGGTAGATGTGAAAGGTGAAAATGTGGAAGTGAAGCGTCTTGTGTCCGGAAGCTGCCCCATCCCATTTGTTTTCCAAAAGCAAAATTCAAAAGCACCAACCATTTCAGGGAGTCTAAAAACAGTAGAGGGAGACAGCAGGTGTGTTTCATGTTCCTCCTCAAAACTGTCAAACCCAAATGTGTGGTTTAATCCAGAAATGTGTTTTAGCGCCAGAGAAATGCACCGTTCAATTTCACTACAGGACAGACTTTGTTGTTTTTTAGCTTCAATGCAGCAATTAAAGTAGTAAACAGTCACATTTAAGGCTACCAATAGGCCATATCCTGGTTTTCCATCTTATAAATGAAACACTCTTTAGGTGTGACATTAAATCTAAATCAGAATTGTGGGTTTCACACAAAATACAACAAAGCAACAAACTCGGACTATTAGCTTCTGTGTGCTACTGTTTCAAAATCCCTTGGATGAAGAAAATCACATCGACTCCAAACTAACATGAGTAAACTTTGGGTGGTTAAACCTCCTGCTAATGTGCAAAACACTTTTCACCCAGGTAACTAACTAAGCTTGCTTACAAATGAAGTAAACTGACTGAGTACTCATATTTACTAACTAAGCTAACTTGGTTACCTTCCTACTTACTAACATTCCCTGCCATCTAACCTTACTAGTCAATGATGTAGGGTTGACAGGTAATACTTACTAATTTACTTGAAAACTTAAGTTACCAACATTACATACCACTAAAGCTTATTTACTAACCATATTTGCTGATTAAGTAAACTTACTTATCAAACTTGACTTAATTCAATTTGTTTATATTGTGAAAATTCACAACAAATGTCATCTCAAGGCAAAAACATCTGTTCAATTCAAAGTTTACTCATTTGCTTATGAGCTTTACCAACTTGTTTTAGCTACATACCTACTAACTAATCCTACAACCCTTAAATTGCTTACTCTCTTTACATTTATACACTACTTAGCCCACTAACTTTGCATTCACATTCACTGTAATTGCTCACTAACCAAACTAACTATTCAAACTTTCAAACATTAGTAACTACCTTTGCTATTATCCGCTTTTCCTAAACTAACTTACCAACTGATATCGTTTACTTGCTTGTCAACCAACTCTGCTTACTAATCTTATTAAAGAACCAACTGACCTTACATGAACCAAATCAAAAGAATTTCAAGCGGGAAAGATCAGAGACTATTAACAGCAACATATTTTATAAAAAACCCCAGCTCATATACGGTTCCCTGTGGAGTGACAGAAATGAGTGCTTCGTATTACGAGGTTAGAAACAACAATGCAGGTGCAATTCAAACCACACAGTCTCATTCACATGCATACACATATAAGGCCACGCCTCATTACTCACCGGCTCGTGATGAGGTTCTGTCTCCTTTCTCAGAAGAGGATCAAACTTCACTTGTCCGACTGCGAAGGGACAATGGGGAAAGACGGGGAACATGAGTTTGGCAGACGGACGTGAAATGAGAGCAAGAAAAGTGAAGACAGCGCGCTCTGACTTACAGTTTATCTCGGACAGAGTCTTTCCTTCCCTCGTGCTCCTGCTGGTGGAGCGGATCCGATGAGGAACCGAGACCGGAGACTAAAAGTGGAGAGCAGAGCAGTTCAAATGTTAGATATGATGTTTACGTTGCACTTAAGACTACCGCTGATTTTAAAAAGAAAAAAGCCTCATCGTTCTGCCATTTCCTGTGGCGCAGCATTCAAAGACACAGCAAAAACAACTAGCCACTGCTTTTGGCCGGAGACCAAAAACGTAGCAACTGAGTCACTGAAAAACAAATCTTTCTGCACTGGCAGCATCAAAACCTTTAGTAGTCTTAAAAACCCAAAAAATTTAAGTTTTAGTTTAGTTTTTTTTTTTTTTTTACACAATTCCAAAGACAAACATAAAAACAAAAATGTTACTTAATTTGACATCATATCTTAAGCGTTTAATCTCAGGAAGTAGATATGTTTTTTTCCACAGGAAACCCTAAACACACCACAAACTCATGCCATGCCTGATCAAGAACTGGAGATCTCAATCCAAAAATGAAAACAATTACAGTCATCAAGTAGATTTGTCAATATTAAATCCATTCTCATGACAGTCCCGTGAGAGTGGTTAGAAACTTCTACAGGAAATGTGAGTTGAAGATGGCTTCCCAACCTAAAATATCATTTTTATCTGCATCCTTTAAGATGCGGGTGAAGATGGGGATCCATAAACTTTATCACACAAACTTCTTTAAATTTTTCATACTTTGTCAAATTACAGTCTCCCATAGTCTTTTAGTGGGATTTTATGATAAAGCAACAGAAAATAGTGTGTAATTGATAAGTGGAAAGAAAAATAATAGTTTTTTTTATGGTAATACATCTGGAAACATGGAGAGAATTTGTATTCAGCCCCCCTTTACTCTGAAACGCAAATAAAATCAAATGCAACCAAAAATCACCTGACTTATACATAGAATTAAGGTGTGTGCTACAATTTCTATACAGAATTTTAATTTTGTTCTGTTCGTGTTAAATACTGTTCACCTGACACTGACTATAACAGCCACACAGTACAATGTGGTGATGGCAGCAACATGCTTTGGAGATACTTTTGTCCCCCAACAAGGACAGGGAAATGCTAAACATCCATTGTAGCAAATGTTACCCCTAATTGGCTTAAATCAAAGCATAATCATGTGTTAGGATGGCCAAGTCAAAGTCCAGACCTAAACCCACCTGAGAATCTGTGGCAAGATTTGAAAATTGAGATTCACACACAATGTGCAAATCTGGTAGAGATGTACATCTAAATACACTATTTCTACAAAATATGACAGATAGAGGTTGAATACAAATTCAAAGGACTCTTTAATGATCTTTATGTCTTAAAAGATGTTTATAAAAGAGTTTTTTTTTCCTTTCCACTTCCCAATAGCACACTGCACTTATCTTTAGATCGTCGCATAAAATCCCAATAAAATACACTGAGCTTCGTGATCGTCACAACAAAATGAGAAAAACGATTTGAGAGTTTTGGCTTTGCAAAGGATAAAACCTTGCAAATGTTTTTTTTTTTTTTTTTTTCTGTATTTTGCATAGATTTCTGTCAAAGGCTGGAGTTGTACGTTTAAGACAAGTGAACGATTCTTCTAATTGTGTCTATAAGAAATCAGTTTAGAGAACTAGAACATGTGAAGCTTTGGAAGCTCTCTTCATCAACAACATCTTCATCCCAGCTGCTGCTATCACAGACCTGGGATGAGTTACAGATGTTTGCTTAGCGATGTTACACATTTAAGATCCCTAAAAGAGCTGCCAGAAAAATCTCACTGATGTGGCCATGGTTAGTCGATAATAAACGAGTTTCTTTCCAGAAAAACTAAAAAATTTTGACCCCAGAATCATGTATGGCTTTAAGAAATTCATTAACTCAAACCATAAGGAAATAAAATGTTAAAAGGACTAACATACTGACCAGAAAAGGTAGTTAACAATCAGCCGACACTCAAATCAGCACAAAAAAAACATGAACGCTTAGAGTAATTATGCAGCTGCATGGGTAAATCCATGAATGCGTCACATGCCAGAGCCGAACTCCATGACAACACCAGGATTCAGAGGACAGAATGGAAACTCTCAACTGTGTTCAGTCGCTGCTGCAGTTCGAATTCAGAAGCATTTTCCAAGAACAGACAGCTTGTGTTAGAAAGACATCACTGCAGTCGACACAAGTACCTTCCTGCGGGCCGCAAAGCGGGGTGCGCGTCGAGCACCGGGGCTTATGGGGAGGAAATGACCTCTGTATTTAAACTAAGTGGGAGGAAGGAGGCGGGGAAAACAGGAGAAAAATGGAGGAGAGAGGAAAAGTGAGGTAAAAGACGGAGGAAAGAGAAGAGTGCCAAAGAGCGAAAGAATAGAGAAACAGGGGAGGAGAAGAAAAAAGCAAAGAATGAGTCACATAAACAAGGGCGAAAAAAAAAAGAGCATAAGGAAAGAGGAAATGACGGCTGGGGATCAGTGAATAGCCAGCTGAGGAGACATGAGGACATATTTTAAGAAAGGGAGGAAAGAAGCAAAATCCAGCAAATCACAATCACTTCTTTACTGATCTGCTTCTTATACTTGGCAGCACTTTAGTTTTCAAGCAGACGGAATCTCAGAAGGTGAAAGGTTACCTCGGGCTCAGGCTCGTCGTCATCGAAGTCGTTGTACGTGCTGTGGTCGGGGTTGTTGGACTTGTCCAGCAGCTCGATCGCAAGCGTCCTGCTGAGAGGCTGGGAGACGAACGGGTGCTGGAGGAGAGACGGAAGACGGAGGTCAGCTGAGGGTGTTTGCACACCCGATAGTCCAGTAGATTCAGTTCAATTGGGGGGGAAAAAAGCTGCAACATTTCTTGTATTTTCAGCTGCGGTTGGCTTTCACACTGCAATGTATCAAGCTATCCAAACCCTCTGAAAAACCTGTTCCACCTCCTCACCTGTGGTGGCGCTGAAACAAAACAAACACCTCCAAACTTACAGGGCTGATGTGAATGCGCCCGCAGGGAGTTCTGGGTAAATACACCCAAAACAAATGTGTGTGTTTAGAGCTAGTGGGAGAAATGGCTAGTGGTCTAGCGAAATCCTACAACCTCAAGTCTGACAAAACTCCATTTTTGTTTATATTTTGCGAAGAAGGAAGTTTCTCTAATCTTGTCTGGTTTTCTTGTCGTGTCCTTCAGTGGTTCTTGGTGCAGCGCCCCCTCAGGCTAAGGAGGGGGTGAACAGGTTTAAAAAGGGTTTTGGATGGTTTGACACATTGCAGTGTGAAAGTGAACCGCACCACCTGAAAATGTAATGACTGTTGCAAATTTTGGTTCCCAATCGAACCGAGTCAACCGGACTATCAGGTGTGAAAACAGCCCAAAACGTTCTTACGCCTTTCACGGAATCAAATTCAAGCACCTTAAGCATTTCCAAGGGGAGTTTCTAAGATTATAACACACGTAAAGTATAGTATAACAGTAATTTAATAGGTTCATAAAGCAACCAGTAAATGCAGTGTTGTTTTTTCAGGCATTGTGATCTATAGGATATATTTATAGGGTATATTTCAATTTTAAAATGTTAAAATTTTAATTTAGGTTAAATTTTATTTTAACCTAAAATACATCAAAACTTGATTTCATGACATTTAGACGGGACGAGGATTCTCCTACATCTGCAACTGATATAAAAACTTACAAACTGCATTCCAGGTTATTTCCTTTAAAGAAGTAAAACTGTCTTGTTTCATTTCTCACCTGCAGCAGTTTCTCTGCCGTAGGCCTCTTCTTTGGGTTCTTGGTAAGAGCTAGTTTCACAAAATGATGGAAGTTATTCGTCCTGTTTGTCAAGACCAGAGAAGAAGACAAACGAGAACAGAAGAAAGAGTTAAACTTTTGACCCCTCAAATAACTCATGCCATGGCTCTGATGAAAACGCCAACAGCTTCTTTGATAAACATGAAAATGATAAAGAAGTCAGTGACTCTCACCACTTGAGTTTATCTTTCAACTTCGGAGGCTGGAAGTTACTCTTTGTCATCAAGAACAGAGCCCTGGATGGGACGAAGAGGGAAACAAGTGATAGTGGTGGAACTATGCACAGTAGTTGTCTTGAATTGTACCAAATTTTTTTTTTGTTAAATCATAGAAAAAAGGGGGGAAAAAACACTTTCTTAAAACAGATATAAAGTAATATTCCAATCTTGACCAGATCTTAAGTTTTGATCAGAGTGTTTTAATTTGAAAATAAGAGTGAGGGTCCGTTCGCAGTCCGCTATAATCAAACTGTAGTTCCTTTGCGGAGATGTGAATGAGCAATCGAACTCTGATGCGGGCCAAAAAGAAGCGAACTCTGGTCCGCCAAAAACCTCGGGCTCAGCTCAGCTGACGTGAACTCTGCCGCGGTTCGAATGCATACGTCAACGCCAAGCAGACCAGAGACCATTTCAGAAGCAGAATTTGACCGAGACGCAGTGGATTCTGGGTAAATGCAAGCAAAACTAACGTGAGAGTCTAATGTCAGAGGGACAAATGACTCGCGGTCTTTTACCAAAGACAGCCATTAAAATCTGACGCTGCTCCATCTTTGTTTTCTTTGAAGGCTTTCATTTTGTTTCCTCCAGAAGATTTTGGTGCAGCGCCCAAGAGAACAAGTTTTCCAATTAGTTGGAATCGTTTGACAGAGTGCAGCGGCTGAAAATCTAACAAATATTACAATTTTGGTCCCTCGTCGCACTGAGTCGATGTGTGAAATCACCCTTCAAGAACAATCTAAACATTACATAATATTCTAATCATCCAAACATCCACCGCTCTTTTTTTTTTTTAGTTCAGTATCTTCTAATATTGTTTCACACAGAACTAGAACACACAGCCATCACTTCAGCAGAGTGTCAATAATAAACTTGCACACACAGCTTTACCTCATCGGGTGCAGGTCAAACATGGGCGGCTGTAGTTCTGCCAGCTCTATTGCAGTAATGCCCACTGCCCAGATGTCACACAGCTGATTGTAGCCCCCCTTCCTCTCCACTGCTGCCACCTCTGGAGCCATCCTAGATTAAGAGAGAAACCCATGGTGGAAGATGAAAGGATACAGACGTAGAAGCTAAATATAATTCCCCCTTTTTTTTTTTTTCTTATAATCAAAAATGTGCATATTTTTCCCCAAATCCCTTGTTTAACTCTTCAATGAAAACGTAACAAGTCATGACTCCAGGAGGAGTCATGACTTGTTACGTGACTTGTTACATGACTTGGAGCAGGGAGAGGCTGCTTCACTGTCTAACTTAACTCTATCTGCACTGATACCCGCATACCAAACTCACCAGTAAGGCGTTCCAATGAATGACTTTCTCTTGGCAAGAGTGGCTGTGATCTGGGCCGACACGCCAAAATCAGCTAAAAAGAAGACGAAGAAGAAAAAAAAAAAGGGGGCATAAGAAAAATAAACCAAAGAAAACCCTTGTCGGTAAATGGAGTTGATCTCATTCTATCTTTAAAAACAGAAGATAAGAGTCGGATCTCACCAAGTTTAACGTAGCCGTTGTCTGTCAAGAGGATGTTGGCTCCCTATAAAAGCCCAAAGATACCACAAAGTAGCAAGAAAAGCTTTCTGCTCATTTTCACAAAAAAATACTGACAATACATAAAAATGTACCCATGAGTTTCAAATAAATATTTGAATTAACTATGATGCTTTTATAAACTCTACAATAATAATAACAATAATAAAATGGACTTTATCTTAACCTGAGATGAAATTAGCCATTAACTGTTTTATTGACATCTATAAAGCTCTATTAAAAAATAATTCACACAACATTGTAAAGATTAAAACAGGTAAACTACAAAGGCAGTATCTAATTAAATGTTGGTTAAGGAACATGGAGCAGACTTTAGTTCAGGCTCACCTTAATATCTCTGTGCATTTTGCCTTTGCTGTGTAGGTAGTATAAACCCTGTGAAAGGAATGACGAGGTTACTGATGTCAAACCGAGACCAAAATAAGATGATAGAAATAAGGCAGCTGATTAATTTCAGTTTTAGAACAACAACATTTGATGTATCTATATGAAGTTTCTTAATATCAACATGTTATACTTTCTGTTTTTCAGAAAGAGTAAGATTTTTATTCTAAAAATAAAAAAAGCCAGTAGTGTCCAAAGTGCGGTCTGTGCGCTATAAGCCCAGCTGGTCGGTGCAGAACGACCCTTTTTTAAAAGTTTCGCCACCCAAAGAATGTCTTAAAATGGAAAATGTAACTTACAACACAAAGCATTACTCTTATCACATGCTCTTTGTTTTCTGTTTATTTTCATAGAAACAGGACCTCAAATACAGCGACTTTGTTCAAAAGCAGCCATGTGTTAAGTCCAGCTAAAGAAAACAATTTAATATCAAGAAAATAGCAAACAATCCCAAAATATTGGAATTTTTAAGCAAATTTTTCATAAGGTAAACATGCAAGACATTTTTAATGCTTTGGAAGGACAATGATTTACTTTTTTTTTTCTACAAAAAATAAAACGCTCTACGTTGAGTAGATTAAATTAAAATATTCTTAACAAGCTAATTTGGTAAAATAAAAAACACAAAACGTTCTACTTTTTGACCCATGTGGCAAACAGTTCCGAAACCACTGCCTTAACACTAGCTTTGGTCATTTATGCTTTTGTTCCATAACGCACAGTTCAAGTATCAACATTACTTGAACTCATCAATGTGCACAAAACAGAGGCTGTTGCTATGGGCGACCTGTTGGTTCTGGTAGAAAATAAGGAAGGAAAAGGGACAAAACCCCTCAGGTTTATAGGGTTTTATTTTGCATCAACTCTAATCATATCTGAATTCTAATTTGCAAAAGTTCCTATACTTTTTTAAGTTATTTTTAAATATATGACTTTTAAATGCAAACTTACTTTGATTTGTAGGGTTAATAATATTATGTCCAATTTGTGAAAAGTACTGCATTGTTATAGTCTTAACATAAATCATGTTTCCATCAATGTTTTTTTTTTTTTTTTTTGAAATATTGCATTAGTAAAGATTGATTGGAAATGGAAAAATTCGGAAAAAAAATAAAAAATACAGCGATGCTGAACGTCTATAATGTGTAGAGTGTAAACATTACCTGCAGGGTTTCCCGCGACATGTAGGCTATCTGCGACTCTGACAGAGGCCCGGTTACTGAGAGGAAGAAGAGAAAAAGCAGTTGCAGAAAAAAAAATGATAAACATACAAAAAAAATAAGACATGGGTATAGATCTTACCATGATATATATCCTGCAGAGAACCACCTCCACAATACTCCATGCTGATCCATAATTTATCCCTTCTAAACAAACAAAAACAACAAAAGACATACCATATAACTCACTCTATATGTCTAACAATCAGATTATAACCAAAACATGCAACTTATTAACAGCTGTCACCAACTACTACACATTCACACTCTTACCGGAGATAGCTGCCAAAATAGGCAACGATGTTAGAGTGTTTACAATCCTTCATCATTAAGATCTCCTGCTGGACGACAGCAAAGTCCTCCCCTGCAGTCAACACAGGCATCATTGCAGCGATAATTAACTGCCATGGTAACACTACTGCTACTAACACAACTAATTAATGAAAGAGGAGATGGAAACAGAGAGAAGGGAAAGTGGGGAACATCAAAGAAAATAAATATGGGGGACAAAAAAAAAAAAAAAAGAACTGAGGATCGCTCTTCTCGGAACGAGAAGTTGATAAAGAAACGGAGCATCCAATATAGGGACAAAAAAGGGAATAAACCAAGGCAAACATGAGGCAACTCACCCGGTTCCAGTTTGATGACTTTGATAGCAGCCAGCTCCCCTGTGTTTACGTTACGAGCCTAAAAGAATGAAAAGAGGAGAGGCTGATTAGTGGTTTAAAGCGTAGGGGGAAAACTTCACAGCAATGACTGTGGAATGTCAAGGTAGAGACAGAGCTGAGAATGGTCGGCGTATATTCCTTTGCTTCAAAACACCAAACGTGAGGTTTGTTTTTTTTTAACCAGTTTCAAATATATTGTCACTGAAACTCGCTAGTGCACTGAATCCTGACGATGACCAACAGGAGGGAAACTCAGAAATCTGATTTTCTGACCCTACCAACATAGGTTTAAAAATATCACAATATAGTTTGGATTTATTGCAATCCACAATAGAAAAAATACATCCCAATAATTAAAACTCTGTAATGCACATAATGTCATCATCATTCAGCAATGTCTGGCAACGTATTGTGGAAAAAAAAGAAGTACATAAGACTGACCTACTTATCTTCAAAAGGCAATAACTCATGATAACTACACAACCCTTAGCCAGTTATCAGAGCACACAGATGCTGAGCTGTGACAAGACCCTTAAATTACCTACCAAATAGTTCACACAGCATAATGGTGCACATATGAGACAATCACCAAAACATCAGACGAAGGTTCAGGGACCGGTCAAAAATTAGCACAGCTACAAATTAAAAGCTAAATAAATATTAAGGTAAAAAGGGGTTGGCTTCATTTTAAAAAAAAAAAAAAAAAAAAAAAGGCAGCATAGACTAGAGAAGACTAAAAGTTTCTCTACACAGATGTACAAATTAATTGCACTCATTAAAACCAAATTATTTACTCTTAAATAATAAAGTTTGTCATCCTGTCAAATTATCAGGTCCTGCAAACCAGATAACTACAACAATAACACTCTGTTTTGCTCTTTCATACACACTGTGTAACATCACCTCTGGACCTAATATAAACGGTTAATGACCGATAATGGCAGGAGGGGGTGTAAAAATATTTTGAATACAAATATTATTGCATCTTATATTACAGTTGTTAAAGAGTGATTTTGCTGGGAAGTAATCCATCACGTACTGCGCCGCAACTCCTATGGAAGACATAAAGCTTCACACTGTAAACGGTCAGTTTTACTACAGCTGTTATTTTCTGTATTTATTTCCTGAATGGTGCAGTTCCTCCTCCTGATATATATATATTGTCAGGATGTTTGCAGAATTACCAAGAATATTTAGGATTCACCAACATGTGTTTCGAGCCAAGGGCAATAAAGTTCCCACATAACTCATTCATATCCTATTACAGCACACTCAGATTGCCTGTGGGAGTGTGTGTGTGTGTGTGTGTGTGTGTGTGTGTGTGTGTGTGTGTGTGTGTGTGTGCGTGTTGCTAGAGGAATGTGGGATGTATTTATTTTTTTTTTTTTCAGAAAAGTCGGAATTTGTCAGGAAAGAGAGAAAAACAGAATACAGAGAGTAACTTTTCTATAAATAGTGAAGTAAGTCTATATTTAGCGGAAGCGCTAACGGCGCAGGAAAGGAATTATAGATAAAGCACATAAATAAAAGATGGGTTTTCAGAGGAGACATGAACAGCCTGCTTCTTTTTGAGTTCCAGAGTGGAAGTATGACTGTGTGAGACGAAGCAGAAATGGGTATGAGCAAACGAAAGAGACATGAGCTGATGATGTCAGGACCCGAAAGGTGTGAGAAAAATTGAAACGGCCCTGAGAGCAATGCGTCATGTCTCAACAGCCTTTGTTGCATCGCTGCTCCAGTTAAGGATCCACCCGGTTTCTGGCTAAATCCCTGGATACACATTTACCACGTACAGATTCAAACAGTGTTTATACAGTGAGAACTGCCTTAAGGAATTCATTTGTACCCCAACACGTCCAACAACAATTTAAACTTGACTTATTGTTCAGTTTCAATAAGTTAAGACTTTCTATAAGACATTTTCCACTGTAGGACTATTTAAGTTGAACTATGAAAATTAACCTTGTAACTTGGATATTTATTTTCCCCATTTTGAACCTGCCAAGTCAGTTTTAGTAGCATAATTCTTGTTTAGGTGTGATGGGAAAACTAAATATGTGAGTAAATTAAAATATGTTTTGGACCTTTTTCTTACATAGGTGCCAAAATTGTTCATCAAAGCACATGCTGTTGGAAGCTAATGTTATAAGCTATGCATGCTGAGCACCCTTAGGTCAAACGGTTTTTTATGATTTTTCAGAAATAAATCTGTAAATAACCAGTCAGTATGTTGACCCAGAAAGGTCAACAACATGTAAAAGGTATGACAGATATAATGCTAATTTCCATTTAAGTCTTTCAGCAATTTAGCATGAAATGGAAGTTATACTACCTTCCTTTTAATCCTTTTAGTACAAAATGGAAGTCATGCTAGCTTCCATTTTAGTATTTTAGCATAAAACAGAAGTTATGCTAACTTCCATGTTAGCATTTTCACAATTTAGTACAAAATTTAAGCTATGCTAACTTCCATTTTAACAATTTAACATAACACGGAAGCTGTGCTAGCTTCCGTGTTATGCTAGCATAAAACGGAAGCTAGCTGTGCTAGCTTCCGTTTTATGTTAGGGTCATCTTAATTTTGATGACCCTTATGTGGCATTGTAGATCAAAGCCAGTCAAGGGAAAATTGGCCAATTCTTATCTCTGGTGTATATGAAGCCATGGGGCTTATGGGGGCCTACATGAATGATATGATGAATTTTGACAATGAAAACTGAAATTGTGAATCTTATGAATATGTTTTAACAACTAAAGGTTTTCCCAAACAAACTATGTGATTTAACCCTTTGATATTCAGTCCGTTTCAGGTGAACCCACTCAGACAAGACTTGTCTCTGCTTCAGAACTACACCAGTGTGGGAAGAATCAGAGTAGTAAAGGGCTTAGTTTCTAGAAATTAGATGTTAGTTTGGTTGACATAAGTCCAAAATATTGACTGATATTTCTGCTCCTTATGCAAGCAGAGGTAAGATGCGCATTTACTCAACAGCCATTTGATCCGACTCATGCATTCTTTTGAATAGTGATAATAAATAATTGATAAAGGTGCAAGTGATTAAGTGAAGTATTGCTTCATCATACCATGGCAGCTCTCTAACATCCAATTAACCCCAGGTGGAAACATAAGGTTCTTCTTCAGAAGCTCAAAATATTAATAATAAAACAAGAGCAGAATCCTGAACCTGGTTATTGATGAGTTCAGAGGGAAACAATTACAATACTACTGAAAACCAGTTAATTCTGATGAAGCATAGTGGGTATTTAAAGTTTCTATGGAGCACTTGTTCTGGAAAATGGACTATTTCAGATTTATTTAATTTCAGTTTATCTGGGTACTGTTGTTTGTGGCCAATTTTATAAACTTGACTCCATCAACAGTCTATTTTCAGGTGTTTTGAGTTTTAAAACATGGATGAAAGAAAAATTGCTTTGAGGAAAAAAAAAATAAAAAAAGATTTCACAGAGTTCTGCCTTTCTGGTATTTTGCTAACCACATAAAAACACATTCATTCCTTTTTCCAGAGCCACAAATCAAAGAACAAATGGTTCCAGGCAGTTTCCCATAAAGGTTAATAATAGAAACAAAAAAGGACCAAATGTACAAATTTAATACATAACTGAATGCATTTTAAGACTTAGTAAGGAAAATGGGAACATAAAGTCTTTTTGGCATTGAGATAACATTGAGACAACCATTCATATTGACCGCCATCATGCTTTTTAAGGAAAACTGAAACATCACGAGTAAAACCCCGGTGGACTTCCCACACCAGCATGCTGCAATGATGAACTGAAAAAAATGACGAACTGAAAAATATGGAAGTAACTAGAAATAAAAGAGGAAAAGAAAACGTCACCCATCACTGACTTGTGATGACGTACAAGAAATGCTGTTTTTTTTTTTTTTTTTTTTTTTTTAGTTTCAAACACTTATAAAAGAGGGGGG